CAGCTGGTCACCCACCCTGCAGGGTGGGGGTCCCCACTGGGGTGCTTGGCCAGGCTGGGTGAGAGGCTGAGGGCTGTTTTCAGGCTGGCGGGTGACTGAAGCTCCCAACTGTTCCTTTTTTTCTTTTTCTTTTTTATTCTGGGCCAGCTTTAGCTCTGGCTCCAGCTCTAAGGCCTCTGTTGCTGAAAGCAGATATCTGGGTTTTTTTGTGTTCTATAGTCGAAACACTGTTTCAACTCCAGCTCTGAGATCCCTGTGGGCTGAAAGCAGGTTTCTGGGGTTTTGTTTAGCTTCTATATTTGTAACAATGTTTCAAACTGCAGGCTCAGAGCCCAGCAAGGCAGGCGGGGAACATTGGTTTCCTCCATCACTGAGGCAAGCAAGCCTCATGTTAGCTTCAAGCTGCATGACTGCCGGCCGCCATCTTGGCTGGCAGTTAATTTCCATATCTTGCTGATTAGCCAGTGGGATGGGTAGCAGACATACACTAATTATCATGTTTCTCTTTTATTAGATAGGATTGGTGTTTGTACCAGTCAATCAAGAAACTGGCCAACATCCTTTATCATTTTCTCTCTATAATCCATGCTCTCTATTGGAGAGAACTTTTCTGTAGAATACCAGAAAAGTAGGATTTTTTTCTTAAAAATTTTTAATCACAAGTAATACCATTCGAATTATATTTCTATATTTAGTATCAGAATAATGTTCATTTTATTTTAAGAATGGAATTAGATCTCACTGTGCTTTTGTGTTTATTTGATGTACTGTATAAGTTTTTAATTAGGTGAAACTTATTAATGCATTCATAAATTATGTTCATTTATTAGAGACAAAAAGAAAGAAGACAAAGAAAAGAAACGTTCCAAAACACCACCAAAAAGTTATAGCACAGCCAGACGGTCCAGAAGTGCAAGCAGGTAAGACATTATAAATTCTTGGCTTTTCTTCAAACTATTTGCAAGGATGTCAATAGATTATGAGCATTGCGTGTTTTCTAGTACGTACAGGAGTGGGCAAAACTAGGTTTACAGTTGTGAGTACAGAAAAATTTATTCTCATATTATTACTTATTGTGTTGTTTTCCATATGAACTGTAAAACTTCTTTTGCCCACCTCTGTACATACTTCAGTGTTAACATTTTAGAGGCAACTTGTGAAAAATAACCTAAAGTTCTTTTCTTTTTACTTACTATTTATGGTGAAGAGCAAGCATGTCAAATTCGTGGTGAGTTTGACATGCTTAGTGTAGAGCAGCGGTTGCCAACCTTTTGGACCATGTGTACCACCAGTGGTCTGTGGACCACTGGTTGGCGAATGCCTGTGTAGAGTAAATTTGACGTAATATGGAGTTCAACAGAGGTCATTTTCTAGTTTGATACATGCATTTTGTATCCTGATTTGAATTATTACATGAAACTTGTTTTTATTACATATTAAGTCATGCTTTAAATGTCCACGTTAATAGTCAAGAGTTTTCCCCCCATATGTAGGGTTTTGTTGATAAAATAATAGCAAGTAGTCAAGTTCTAATTTGTGTCATTCTTAGACTTGTAATTCTGCTATAGTGTGAAAATTAAATGTTGCTAACTTTACTCCACAGGAATGTGTTTTTCGCAATGGTATATAAACATTGTTATTTATGAAACTAGAGGCCCAGTGCCCGAAATTCATGCACAGCTGGGGGAGGGTCCCTAAACCTGGCCTGTGCCCTCAGGGGATGTCCGATTGCCAGTTTAGGCATGACTCGCAATGCAGGACGCTGCATGCACCAGTGACCATACTTTTCATACAAGTGAAAGGCATCTTGCTGTTGTATGGGCAGTTACATTTTTTTGCCCTGATTATAAAAAGTAGTACTTATCATGATCCTTCTGAGGCAGTAGTACCATTTCTTCCATCTTATGGGTGGATAAACTGAAGCAGAGATAAGTGGAGGAGCTGCCCCCAGTCTGGGACAGCTCCTGCGTTGAGTGTCTGCCCCCTTGTGGTCAGTGCACCTCATAGCGACTGGTTGTTCTGCTGTTTGGTTGATTTGCATATTAGGATTTTATTATAGGATTAGTAAGGGCTGGTCATACTTAGTAACTCCATTTTCTTCCAATCTAGTTTACACATTTTGCTGTAGTGATTGTTTTCTTACATTGATTATTAAATGCTTAGGAGGGTCACTCTATATACAAAAATTAATTCAAAATGGATGCATGACCCAAACTTAAAACCTAAAATGGAAGTAAATCTTCATGACCTTGAATTTGGCAATGGTTTTCTAGATATGACATCAAAAGCATAAATAACAAAAGATAAATGTAAATTTTGGAGGTCATCAAAATTAAAAACATTTGTTTCAAAGAATACTGTCAAGAACTTAAAGAAAACCCAGAGTGCTAGAAAGTAACAGATTATATATTCAAAAAGGGACTTGTATCTAGAATATACAAAGAACTGTTACAACTCAATTATAGTAAGACAACCTAATTAAAAAATGGCCAAAGAATCTGAATTGACAGTTCTCCAAAGAATATATGCAAGAGTCTGATAAACATGAAAAGATATACATTAGTCATCAGGGAGATGCAAATCAAAACCACAGACACTGCCCTGACCAGTTTGGCTCAGTGGATAAAGTGTCGGCCTGCGGACTGAAGGGTCCCGGGTTCGATTCCAGTCAAGGGCATGTACCTTGGTTGTGGGCATATCCCCAGTGGAGGGGGTGTGCAAGAGGTGGCTGATCAATGTTCCTCTCTCATTGATGTTTCTAATTTTCTATCCCTCTCCCTTCCTCGCTATAAAAAATCAATAAAATATATTTTAAAAAACAGACACTAGGATGGTTATTATTAAAAAAGACAGATGGTAACAAGTGTTGGCAAGTATGTGGAGAACCTGGGACTCTGTATGTTGCTGGCATGAATATAAAATGGTGCAACTGCTTTGGAAAACGGTAATTCCTAAAAAAAAAATTAAGAGTTTTGACACAGTATTTTCACTTCTAAGGATATACCCAAAAGAAATGAAAATGTTACACACAAAACTGTGTACACTAATTTTCATAGGAGTGTTATTACTCATAATAACCAAAAAGTCAGCCCAGATGTTCATTAACTAACATGTGTGAACAAAATGGTATAACTATACAATGAATTATCCAGCAATGAAAAGGAATAAAGTACTGATAAATGTTACCAGGTGGATGAGCCTTGGCAACTTAGATGAAAGTAGTGAGTCACAAAGAACCATAAATTGTAGGATTCCATTGACAGGTGTCCAGAATAGATAAATCTATAAAGACAAAAAGTAGATTAATGGTTGGGGTGTGATACCTAAAGGTAATTTATTATGGGGTTTCTTCTCAGGGTGAGGAATATTTTCAGAAAATGTAAATTACATTAGAACCCCCTGCAGGAACCAAAATCCAATAAGCTCAAGTCCCTTATACAGGGTGCCCCCAAAAGATGTATGCACAGTTTAACTGCTGATACCTCAATTTTGAAAATGAAATGTATTTTAGAAACACTGCCTTTGTAATTATTCACAATATGTGTATACATTTGGGGGGCACACCTTTTATTAAATGGCATAGAATAATGCATACAGTTAACACTCTGGCATCCATAGATGTAAAACCTGCAGATACGGAGAGGCAACTATTTAAAACAGAAAATGAAACCATGTGTAAGTATTTAAGAAAATGACAAACTAGGTCTTAGGGAAAGGTCGGGTGTGCAGCATTTATTTTTCTTACCTTGCTAACTAGTGGCTCTTTATTTTTTTCCTTTTATTTTTTCTTTTTGTTGTTGTTTTTGCCTGTTCCTTTATTTTAATATACTTATTCATAAGCACTTTACACTGCTTAATTATTGGATCACCTTGATAATATTTGATGAATGAAGAGTTGTGTGTAATGTTTCCAGGACTGTAGGGGGAGGTGCCACACAGGGTTGTAAAGGTAATTTTTTGTTTGGTTGGTTTTTGGTGTTTTTTTTGTGGGGGTTTTTTTTCCTAAAGCTTTTTTGGAAGCTAGACAACTGAAATTAATGGGGTTTTATTTTTATTTTGTACCTAAATTGTAATCTCACAAGTCCTAATAGCTTTTGAGAATAGTAACCAGCAGAATTGTAAGCCATATTTTAAACCACAGGTGGGGGACATCTCACCAAGAGAGAGGAAGGGCAGTGAGAGAGAAAATTTATGTGAGAGCAGAACATTGATTGGCTGCCTCCTGCAACCAAACCTCCCCACCACCACCACCCACCGGGGTTTTAGCTTGCAACATGTGCATGTGCCCTAACCAGCAATCAAACTGGCAACCTTTTGGTGCATGGCTGACGCTCAACCAACTGAGTGAGCCACACCAGCCAGGACAGCAGGCTAATCTTTAAGTTGATAATTTTGTATAGCCCACGAATGATGTTACAAATATCCTAGTGGCACTAGGCAGAAAAAGTTTCTGCACCCTGTTGTAAACAGAGAGAAAAGGCTATATTTCTTAAACAATGATTGCTCAAAGCAGTGTTGGGGGACATGGCTTGCTGGAGTATAGGGAATCAATTTGATCCTACGTTAACATTAACTTTAGTTCTCTAAATTTTACCCAGTGAATTTAAGAGTAATTTTTTTATTTTACTAGTATCTGCAACATACGATCCTATACCTCTTCTGGACACTGATATATGAATCAAAAACTGATTGTTAATCTTTCCTCAAGTTTAACAAATCTGATGTTATGATAATGTAATTTTTTAAGAATTGCTGGAAATGAGGGTTTTCTTGAGAGCATTAAAGGAAAGGGACATGGTTTGAAAAAGAATTGTGGTTTATTACTACTCATTTGATTCTTCAGCTCAAAACTGTATTTGAAAATGCTCAGAGTTCCTAATGGAGCTCCATCATAGACATATCTGCTATGATGTGTCTGTATTTTAAAGTCTAGTTTGTACATTTGTGGTCCTAGAGAGAGACGACGTCGACGAAGCAGGAGTGGCACAAGATCTCCTAAAAAGCCCAGGTCTCCGAAAAGAAAACTGTCTCGCTCACCGTCCCCTAGGAGGTAAGAATGCTAATGATTTAGGTGTACTCTTTCTAATTTTCAGAACTTTTTTTTCCATTAAAATGCTTATGAATGTGCTTTTATTTTTCTCTTACGATTTGAGGCTGTTTTAATAAACACTGTGGAGGATTGAGCATTTTATGCCTGTAACCAAATTAGTTTTCTTCTATTATTGAGCATGGCTTGTGTCCAGTGTTTTGAAAATGGATATTTGCTATATATTTTTTTAAATATATTTTCATTGATTTCAGATAAGGGAGAGAGAGATATATATAAACATCAGTGATGGTGAGAGAATCATTGATTGGCTGTCTCCTGCACACTGCACACTGGGGATTGAGACTGCAACCCGGGCATATGCCCTGACCAGGAATCAAACCTTGACCTCTCCTGGTTCATAGTTCGACACTCAACCACTGGGCCACACTGGCTGGGCTAGTCTTTATTTATTAATTTGATAGAAACATCAATTTGTTATTCCATTTATTTATGTATTTATTGGTTGCTTCTTATATGTCCAGGGGTGGGAAACGTCCAGACCGCGGGTCCTGCTAAATTTTGGTCTGGCCTTGCCAAGGCATTAGGGGTGAGTTAATTAAATGTTTGACCAAATACAGCAGGCTAATTTTTAGGTTGATGATTTTGTATGGCCCAGGAAATGATGTTATAAATATCCAAATAGCCCTTGGCAGAAAAAAGGTTCCCCACCCCTGTTGTGCCTTGACGAGATCAAACCTGCAACCTTAGTGGTGTATCAGGACAATGGTCTAACCAACTGAGCTACCCGGCCAGGGCCCTGTACCCTCTTTATATCATGTGAACTGGGTCAAGCTTAGCATCTAAACAAGTTAAAACTTATTGCTATACTTACAGGTTAAAATTCTCAAGCGTATCCTTTAAAGCATCTTTTTTTTCTTTGAGAACATTTTACTGTTATCCTAGGCATAAAAAGGAGAAGAAGAAAGATAAAGACAAAGAAAGAGGCAGAGATGAACGAGAACGGTCAACAAGCAAGAAGAAGAAAAGTAAAGATAAGGAAAAGGATCGGGAAAGAAAATCTGAGAGTGATAAAGATGTAAAAGTATGTTTACATACTAATTTATTTTGGTATTTTAGGTGGTACTAGTACTTATAAGAAGTGATTTTTCTGTGAAGACGTTTACTTTTATTATTCTCCTTGGCAAAGCAGGTTACACGGGATTATGATGAAGAGGAACAGGGGTATGACAGCGAGAAAGAGAAAAAAGAGGAGAAGAAACCAACAGAACCAGTTTCCCCCAAAACAAAAGAATGTTCTGTGGAAAAGGGAACTGGTGATCCCCTGAGAGAATCCAAAGTGAATGGTGATGATCATCATGAAGAAGACATGGATATGAGTGACTGAATATGGCCTCCATGAGAATCCACCTGTATACATGCATCAGTGTCATTCCTTTGTGTGATATCTTCATGCTGTATTTGTTCATCTCAAACCTTAGATGTATACAGCTCTGAGCTATAAATGGTTATAACGCTCCTGATATTTATATTATTTACATCCAAACATTTTTAGAAAATACTATGTGGGTAACCAATTCTTGATGTGGTGAAATCTGATTGAGTAACCAAGCAGCTTGACTATTCTGGTGCTGCTTCATAGCAGAAGTGAAAAGCTGCATGCATCTACAGCAGGCATGGATTGTTTATGTTGTATAATCTCCTTTATTAAGTAAGTTCACTTATAGTATTTCTAGAATTTGATTCATTGCCGTAATAGAGCCATGTAGGGAATGCACTGATTGCATGTTAATTGTGACAGGAATATCCTCAATGTCATTAAAATCCTCAACATGATGGATCTACTTATGGTCTTGTTCGTTGATATGACAAGTTAACATTCTTATAGTTACATCTGGAAATAAGCATTTGAAATAGATAATCCTTTAAGCCTTGTGGCTGAAATTTTGTGGCTTTTGTTTAACTTTGAAAGGTTATATATGCACTAACCTTTTTTGATGGCTGCTTAGGCTTTAATTACAGAAACAAAATTTGAAATGAAACTGTCTTTGGCAGTGAGTAAATAGCATATTTTGAAGTAGAGTTGTATACTTTTTCATAAGGTGTTTGGGAATTTTTTTCCCTGAAATAATTTATTTCACACCTACATCATTGAAAGCTATCTGCCTATCCTGAGTCCATCTGTAAAAGACTTATTTCTTGTCCTAATTTTCAGTTTTTCACTTTTATTAATTTGTTTTAATATCAATGTTGGAAAAAGGGGGTAGTGCATTTTAAATTGATCATATGCTTTTAAAGTGAGACAAATGTACTTGATAATGTATTTTTATTTGATCTCAAGTTGTATAAAACCAATAAATTTGTGTTACTGTTACTGCAGTAGTAATCTTATGCCCACAGTGATTCCATGTTAAATGCAAAGTAGTTTAGGCAACTGTTTTCTTAGTTACAGGAGTTTCCAGCTTCACTTTTGTGCAGTAAAAACAAAAGTAGGCTACAGTCTGTGCCATGTTGATGTACAGTTTCTGAAATTGTTTTACAAGTCTTTGATAATAAAACCCTTAAACCTATGTTCATGTTCCTGTAAAACCGTATTTGTATTTATTTACAAGCTGTTGAATGTATGACATTTACCTCATTCATTTTACAAATCAAGTCCTTTCCCCTACAATCTACATATTTACAATCCATCACTGTAGTGATTAGTTACCATCAGAATTATCAAAGTTGCTTTAATTTCTAAAACTATTTCTTAGTATTAATTTCTCATATTTTGGGTGTAGGAATTGGGTTGAGTAAAGTAACTAGGATAAATGATCCCACCTATATCTACTAAATTTATATTTTCAGTGAAATATTTGCCTTTGCTGGAATAGTATAGCAATTCAATGGTATGTATCTAATGTACAATACTAAATATTTATTCATTTATGAAATGAGTAGTGTAGAGTGGCTGGGTTTAAGGGGGAAATGAGACTTGGAAGTATAGCTCTTATCCAAGTCTGATAATTTTTTTAACTTTTAAAATTGAAATGCCATATAGAAAGCAGCATTGTTTTTACAGTTTATAGTAAGTAACTTTTTAAAGATTTTATCCAAAGGAATTTTGTCTATAGTTATGAAGTTCTAGTAATGGCCCTAATAGTCATTTTCAAACTGTTGAACAGAAGTGACATTTACTTAAACCTACAAAAACTTTCTTAGTAGGTGATGGTTGAACCAAATGACTGCCATTTTTGTAAATCAAAACAAGTAAAATGTTGGCAGTTTCACCTCGTTAAACCTAGTATTAGTCTGTTTCCTCACTTGTAATCTCTGAATACGAATATACTTAACTTTTCAAAAGGGATTAAGTTTTGGGCTGTAAAATAGTGTCACTGATGTAAAATGTAGTGAAGGGAACTCGTACCTAGGTTATTTTTCAGTGAACATTTTATGCACAATGGTAAGGTTGTACAGGACACAAGCCTTTAACACGACCAGTTGAAACCAAGTGAATACTGACTGCCTCCACACTTAAGTTTTGTTCTGTATTTAGTAGTAAATGATTATAAAAATAAAAGTGGTTTTGTTAGAAAAAATGTTTGTCCTATTTATTTGCTTAAATTCTTCAGCAGTGAATGAGAAGTAGTGGCTATGAGTCTAGTCATGAGTTTTGGTTTCATTTGCAGCTGAGGAGACCTATATCTTTTACTTTGAATTTCTTAATTGTGAAATGAGATTAATACCTATCCTGCAATGTAGTTGATAATTTCACCACGGGGGGTGGGGGGGTGAGTTGGAGTGGAGAGATGCAGGCTTGTGTTGCCTGGTACCTGCTATGGACTTTTTCAAAATTATAATTTAGTTTAGGGTAATGTTTTAGCAGAGGCACTACAATAAGTTGCATGCAGATTAAGAGAGAAGGCTATGTTGCTCTTTTCATTTTTGTGACGACGGGTTTTGGATGATAATCTTCCTGGTAGCGATTACAGTGTCTGTATGTGGAGAGTATGTATAAATGTTAGATATTTAGGGAAAGCACAAATAGGGCTTCTACTAGAACAGTACAAACGAATTTTACTTCAAGTTGCATCTTACAACTGAATAAAGTTCTGGTGTGGGTATCACAGAAAATGTACAAGCCGACTTTTCCTCTAGCAAACAATAACACTTTGGTTGAGTTCTAGATTAAGTGCCTCAGGGCCATGCAATCAGTACTTAAGTTGTGTTTACTTTGGTTAAATATGGATGTTATGGAAATGCTACTGGGACTTGAAAGAGCATCCAGAATGTCTGTTCCTAAGGCTTTATTAGCATAGGTCCTTTCTAAATGAGACTAATTCTGGAGTTGTAGATTTACTCATCTGTTCTACTCAGTTTTAATTTTGTTGTCGTTTTCATTGTATGTGAAATTCATTTAGAAATTCTTTAGCAGCCCTAGTGGGTTTGGCTCAGTGGATAGAGCCTCGGCCTGTGGGGTTCGATTCCATTCAAGGGCACATGCCCGGTTGCAGGCTCAATCTCCAGTAGGGGGCATGCAGAAGGCAGCCAATCAATGATTCTCATCATTGGTGTTTCTATATCTTCTTCCTCTCTGAAAGCAATAAAAATACATTTTTTTAAATATAAATTCTTTAGCAAAATAACACACGTGTACCATACTAAATTCTTCATCTGTGGGAATATTCCTGAAAATACATTTATTTTAAAAACATATATATACACTTACTACAATATAAGAATTCTCAGAATGATGAACATTTTTTATATACAGTGGGGCCTTGACTTACGAGATAGATTCGTTCCAAGACCGAGCTCATTAAGGAACTCGTTAACTCAAATTACTCTGTCAACTCAATGCAAAAAATCGGCCGAGAGACAGCTGGTATCTCAAAGAACGGGTTAGTCGGGACACATATAAGTCAAGGCCCCACTGTATTATTCATTTCAGAGAGGGAAATACAGAAATATCAATGATAATCGTTGATCAGCTTCCTCCTGCACACCCCCTACTGGGGATTGAGATCAAGCCCACAACCTGGGCATGTACCCTGACGGAATAGAACCTTGATCTGGTTCATAGGTCGACATTCAACCACTGAGCAACACCATCCAGGCCAAACATCCTAATATATAGGATGGGTCATAACCAGTCACTACCGAGGCTCAACCAACCAGAAGTCAGTCCTGTAGGCAGTGCTGCTGGGTTACCATAGCAACCCAGTTGCTGACTGCTTCTGCTGCAGATGCAGTGCCCCAGCACTGACTGCTGAGGGGGCTGCAAATCAGGGCGAGAGAGAGGCCTGAAGAGAGAAGCAGGGACTGACCGTTGCTCTGTGGCAACTTTTGATCAGCATTTGCCTCTCTCTCCCAGTCTGGCCAGCAGCTGTTGTAAATGTTTCCCCCCACATCCTGCGTGGTTCAGGGTTCAGGATCTGGAAGAGGAGCCCCACACGAAAGAGAAGAGACGAGATAATTTGGAAATATTGGGGGGCCAGGCGGGTAAGTCCAACTCAAGGGGAAGGACTTCCACTGGTGCTCAGACCTCGCCAATCTTTTATTGGTTTGGGATACTCCCATAGCCCTTAAGCAGGCAAGTTCCAGTAACACACAGACTATCTTATCAATAAGGATTTACAGAGAAAAAAACAAGATGGCAGCATGGGTGAACACCAGAGTTTGCTGCCTCGAACAACCACTTCAAAAATACAACTAAAAGACGGAACAGACATCATCCAGAACCACAGGAAGGCTGAGTGGAAATTCTACTAGAAGGAAAGAGAAAAGCATACTGAGACTCAGAGGAGGTGCGGTGCGGAAGTAAAATACAGAGGTACAGAGGCGCATGCAGAGAGGGTTGGCGGCTGAGGACACGTCTTTTCAATTGGGAGGGAGTCTCAAGCTCTGAGCTCCAGTTCCAGGCGAGTCTCTTGGGACCCAGACTCATACGGGAGAAACTGGGCTGTCTGCCATTGATCGGCGCTCGAGGGCAGCTTTCTCTCGGGAGTGCTTTCAGCAATTGCCGGGACACTGAGAAGCAGGGCCTCTGAGAGCAGCCATAACTGCCCTCTCCGCCCTGTTGATCCCCTGGGACCCCGCCCCGCCCAAGCTGTGTACGGAGGCTTTTGCATATGAAAGATCTGGCCCTTTGCGAGTGATAATTACCTAACAAACTGAAGCTGGCCCAAGGCCCCAGGGCAACTTGCATTGCTTCACAACTGGCTCCTGCTGGATAGCCTCAAGCAGAGGCTAGATTAGCACCTCCATAGAGATCCAGGAGCCAGTGTCCCCGGTGGTCAGAGTGGGACCATCCAGATTACAGCTCCTCAGATCCATAAAGGACAAACTCAGGGAGCAGACTCAGTGATCACCAAAGCCCCACTGAAGCAAGTCTTGCCCCGGAGGGATGTTTCCTGCACAGAAGTTCTCCCACTGTAGACACAGCTTATTCTCACAGCCAATTGGCCTGGAGGTCGATTCCTCCCAGTGATACCTACAACAATCAAGGCTTAACTGCAAGACTGTGCACAAAGCCCACAAGGG